TTTAAAAGAAAGCTTTTAATTGGGCCTACACTTTGTGGTGGTTTGAAAGAAAATGGCCCCCATAGGGTGTGGCACTATGAGGAGGTGTGGCTTTGTTGGAGGAAGTGTGTCACTCTGGAGATGGGCTCTGAGGTCTCCTATGCTCAAGCTATGCCCCGTGAGACAGATCACTTCCTGTTGACTGTGGATGAAGACGGAGAACTCTCAACTCCTTCTCCAGCACCATGTCTGCTTTTACACTGCCATGTCATACCAAGGTGATAATGGACAAAACCTCTGAAGCCATCACCTGACTTAAATGTTCTCCTTTGTAAGAGTTGCTGTGATCATCATGTCTCTTCACAGCAATAGAAACCTTAATTAAGACACATTTTCAGAGGGTTAGAGTCCATGATGGCAGAACATAGGCAGTATGGCAGGAACTGTTGAGAGTATACATCTTGATGTGCAGCCCGGAGGCAGAGAAGGTACAGGGAATGGATCCAGCCTTTTGAAACCTCAGATCCTACCCTCAGTGACATACCTCCTCCAACAGGTGACCAAGTATTCAAACATATAAAACTTTGCAGACTGTTCTCATAATTTCCATTATTATAAATTAGGCAGGCTGTAGTATTCTGCATATATGCATGACTAACCCAGGGCACCATGAGGCCCATGTAGTCTTGAGTGGCCTCAGAAGCAGCTCCACACTCACAACCCTCAGCTGAGCTTTTGGATAAAACCTTAGTCCTAGTGACAGCTCAGTTTGAACTAGTGAAAGAATGAGCAGGGCGCCTGACATCCTCCTCTGGCCCTTGAATGTGCATGCACAGGTGTGCACTGGCACACACATATATAAGATATAAAATGAAAAATATCACATAAGTAACATAACTTTATGAGTAATTATATGTAAGGTTAAAAATGTATAGACAAAGCATTATGAGACAAAAAACAAAAACAGAACAAAGAAACAACCCCTTCAAAAAATACTTCCGGCCGGGCATTGGTGGCGCATGCCTTTAATCCCAGCACTCGGGAGGCAGAGACAGGCGGACCTCTGTGCGGTCGAGACCAGCCTGGTCTACAAGAGCTAGTTCCAGGACAGCCTCCAAAGCCACAGAGAAACCCTATTGCAAAAAACAAAAAAAAAAAAAAACTTCCAAAAATACCTTTGAGTGATGGGGGAGGTCCTTCTGTGTATATGGTTGTCTTATTGGTTGATAAAATAAAGTACTGTTGGCCAATAGGAAAACAAGATAGGTGGGACGAGTAGTCAAGGAGGATTCTGGGAAAGGCAGGAAAAAGCACAGAGTCACCTTGTGAGCCCGGAAGACAGGGTGCTTGCTGCTGGCATCTGATAAGTCAAGTCTTATAAAATATATAGATTTATGATAATTAAGACTGAGCTAGCAGATGAGAAATCCTAATCATTGGCCAAGCAGCATTTGTACCTAATATAAGTCTCTGTATGTTACTTGGGACCTTAATGTGGCAGTGGGCAGAACTTAGGGGGCCTGGCAGAAAGCGCCCACATGGTGGCTCAGCTCAGGAGGATGGAGTAAAGACTTATTGTTACATCTGAGTTCATTTTATGTTGGCGTCTACTGCTGGACTTGGGGTCTGTCCTTAAGGGTGGTTTGTGTATCCAGTAAGAATCCTTTGTAGAAAGCTGATTTTTTCCTTTGCAAGAAGCTATCGATTGGAGGTAGCTTCTGGATTTGGATGGGGACTTGTGTCTACTTCTTCTCAGTACTGGGAACCCCCACCTAGCTTAGACCTTTCCAGGCCCTATACATGCTGCCACAGAATCTATGAGTGTGTGTGCGTGTGTGTGTGTGTGTGTGTGTGTGTGTGTGTGTGTTGGTCTTGTTGTGTTTGGAAGCCTTATTTCCTTGGTGTCTTCCATCCCAGCTGTCTCTGTCTTTCTGCTTCCTCTTCTGCAGAGTTCTCTGTGCCCTGAGGAGAGAGATTTGATGGATATATCCCATTTAGGACTGAATGCTCCAAAGTCTCACACTCTCTGCACATGGTCTAGTTGTGGGTCTCTATTGGGAGCATCACCCTTCATGTATATATTCATGTATATGTATGCATATATACTATACCATATGAATATATACTGTAATACTATACTATATATAGTTATCCTATATATGCTATGAGTTATAGTGTAACTATATATAGTATAATTATAGTATAACTGTAATTCATATGGAATAGTATATATGCTATATACACACATATACATGCATATATATATATATATATATATATATATATATATATA